TCGTGGCCGGGAGCGGCCACTGCACTCCAGTCTGGGCGACAGAGTGAGACTCCAACTCAAAAAAAAAAAAAAGAAAGAAAGAAAAACAATTACTTTTAAAAATACACAAAATAGACACAAGACTAGAAATCCAAATAACCCCATATCTATTCAAGAAATTCAACCTATTTTCAAACAAAATAATCCCACACACAAAAAAAACTCCAGGCCCTGGAGAGACTGTTTCTGTCACAACTACTCAATTCTGTCAGTATAATAAAGAAATAGATACAGAAAATAAGCAAAACAATGAGTATGGTTGTGACGCATTAAAACTGTATTTATAAAAATGAAGTTTGAATATCATATAATTTCCATGTCATGAAACATTCTTCTTTTGATTTTTCTTCAACTACTTAAAAATATAAAAACCAACCAGGCTCAGTGGGTCAGCCTGTAATCCCACGCTTTGGAAGCCTGAGATGAGTGGATTGCCAGAGTGCGCGGGTTCAAGACCCACCTAGGCAACTTGGCGAAACCTCATCTCTACAATAAATCAAAAAATCAGCCGGGCATGGTAGCGCATGCCTTTAATTCCAGCTACTGAGAAGGCTGAGGTGGAAGGATCGCCAGAGCCCAGCAGGTAGAGGCTGCAGTGGCCAGGAACAGCCACTGCACTCCAGTCTGGGCGACAGAGTGAGACTCCAACTCAAAAAAAAAAAAAAATGTATATATGTATAAACCGTTCATAGCTTGTAAGCAAGTTAAAAAAATAAAACAAGCAATACAAAAACAGGCCATTGCCAAACCACATGTTTAAAGAAGGCAGATATAGGTGTGGTGGCTCACACCTATAACCCCAGCACTTTGGGAGGCAGAGGCGAGAGACTTGCCTCAGCCCAGGGGTTAGAGACCAGCCTGGGCAACTTGGCGAAACCTCATCTCTACAATAAATCAAAAAAGTAGCTGGATGTGGTGGTGCATGCCTGTGGTTCCAGCTACCTGAAAGGCTGAGGTGGGAGGATCACCTGAGCCCAGCAGGTTGAGGCTAGAGTGGCCATGAGCGTGCCACCGCACTCCGGCGTGGGCAACAGAGTAAGACTCCGACTGGGGAAAGAAAAAAAAAAAAAGAAAAGGAACTGTTATATATTCCTTTTGACCTAGGGCTCTATGAAAGTTACCAAGATACCCTAAACTCAGAAAGTTTGGGAATCGCTGTTCCAGTCACATGCACACAAAAATATTTCCACCCCATCATGATAATCAATGTAACATATTTTTTTGTACTTACTTCAGTGTTTGGAGCAACTAAGGAAAATTCATGAGACAGATCAAGCTTAACGCCATCAAGATTTACTTCTGAAGGCCTTTCAAGTGGATCGGCACTAAAAACATAAGATGGTCTAGGTACTCCCTCTTGATTCAAATTAAATTCCATTCTGCAAGAATAAAGGCAACTTCTTTAGACATTAATAAGTCAGTATGTAAGTCACTCACACTTTAAAAGTTTAACCTACTACTTTCCTCCAAATAACTACATTTCAGAGAAGGAAAACATTAGACTGCTTCGTTTGTAACACCATAATCTTATAGAAAAGACAAAAGATCAAGTTACATTTACAGATTCTGAATCTAATAATTGAACACAGCCTTCTATTACACATATGACTCAACCTATGAATACATTCATTGAGGTTTCATGAGTAAAGGTAATCTGAAAAGATGGCATAAAATGTTCACTCTCTCCCTAAAATACTCTCTAAAATCAAAAAGAAAGGCGATCACAGAGTGATTTATAACCTTGTATTATTTTAATTATTTAGAATCTTCTGAAGAATGCTATTTACAGATTCTGTTTTAGCATTTAAAAGTTAAGAGGTTACCCCAAATGCAAGCAAAAAGTAAAATAACATATGTAAACACACATTCAAAAGTTCCTGACACATCATAGATTTTAAGTTGAATATGGAATAATATATTATAAACTATTACAAACGAATTAAACATCAAATCACTAAATTTAAAGATAAGCTTAACTGAAAAAACATTAACATTCAAACATTTACTGAGAATCTACTACATATGCAATACTAGGGAAGACAGGACTCTGGGTTATTCTTTGACAAGATTATAAAATACCCTGAAAAGTGACTCCCAAACTATGGTTCTTGGCTAAAGAAGGTAGTAATGGGCATCCACGGGTATTACATAAATGAATCAAAGACATCCTCTGCATATTGGCCTTACGCTGTTTACTTCACAGCAGGCAAGAACCTTAGCTCAAAAGCCCGCTGGGGTGCCCAACTCAAAATTATTAGGCATTCATTTGCTTTAAATATAGCCCAAACAAGCACGTCTTTAGTCATTTAGAATCTGCCAGGTTTGCATATCCCATGAAACTGCACCCAAGATCTGTTAGACACAGATAAAGCTTGGAACTATCAAGATCTCCCAAACCACTGCGGCACCTCAGAGTTCTATGATTCAGCAACTCCCCACTGTGCAACACCACTTAGACGTTCAATCCCCTCTATGATTCTCCTCTCCTTCTCCTCCAAGCTCCCTTGCTCTCCTTTTCATCTGGGTGGTGGCCACTCACCCTAGTCTAGGGAAAGTCCCATGCTGTGAGGGATTTCCTTGCCTACAATCCTGTCAAAGCCCAGTCCAAATACAGTTCCTTGTCTACTACCGCCACCTTGTGGTCAACGTCTTCTTTCATCGGCCCTGAAATTCTCAAAGACCACAAGAGCATGTTGGGTTTCTCCCTCTAAATTCCCACACTAAGGAAATCATACATTCACCTTCAATAGGTCCAGCAAACTACAGGACTAACCAACCACCATAAGTAAACAAGTTTTACATCTTTATTGCCCCTGTTTTTATTGTATAATTAGTAATGTAATAAAAATGGGAAAATTACTTACATGCAGTATGACATATTTCAAACATGTAATTTATGGGTAAAAATTTTAAAAAGGAGTGTCTATTAGAGTAAAAAAAATCACTGATCTAAAACATGGATATGGAGGGAAATTTTGCAAAAAAAATTAAAGTATTGGTTGATATTTCAAATTACAGATTTCATGCAATGTCCAGAAAACTGGAAAATAAAACTCATCCTTTATTCTTAAACTAAATAACTTTTAGTTTGAAAAAAAGTGTTGATAATCTTTCCAATTACTGAATTTTAAAAATTGTTGAGATGTACTGTCACTTCTTGTGATTTTAGTTGCCTTCTCCATGGCCTTCTTAATTGGAAATTTTTGAAAGCAATAACCCTTATACCAGTCTGTACCACCATAACAAATTCAGAGACGTATGTAGTAATAAAGACTGCCTAATGACTTAAAAAATGGTAATAAATAAAATCTTCCCTATCAAAAAAAAAAAAACTCTTTGTGATATTATCTTTAGTGACAGCAAGGTTCAAACCTCATTTCTAGACGGGCTCGGTGGCTCAGCCTGTAATTCCGCGCCTTTGGGAGGCTGAGGTGAGTGGATTGCCTGAGCTCGCGGGTTCCAGACCCGGCTGGGCAACTCTGCGAAACCTCATCTCTACAATAAATCAAAAATGAGCCGGGCGTGGTAGCGCGCACCTATAGTTCCAGCTACTTGGAAGGCTGAGGCGGAAGGATCGCCGGAGCCCAGCAGGTCGAGGCTGCGGTGGCCGGGAGCGGCCATTGCACTCCAGTCTGGGTGACAGAGAGAGACTCCAACTCAAAAAACAAAACAAACCTCATTTCTCATTTCAAGAGGCCATTCCACTAGGAAACTGCGCCTTCTTTTATCTTTCCTCCAGCGAAACTACATGATTGAAGAATGGAGAAAAAATAGTGGAACCTGTTAATGAAGTTTCTGAAGTTTCCGAATGTGATCGACAACATACAGCCTCACACACACACAAAAAAAGACTTCACAACTAATTGATGAATCCTTTACATTATTTTGAAATGTGGGGTCTTGGACATGTAACAAAACATACACACTTCTACACTGCTCTTGGGCAAGCATGCTACCTTGTTTTAAAACCAATAACAAACCTGAATTTGATCAGCTTAAGCAGGGATTAAAAACAAGCTAACCCATAAGGCATGGACTTGTATCAACTAGTTCTTTGACAAGGAATGTTAGAGAACTGGGCCGGGCAGGAATCACTGAACCAGGGAGTGAAACGAAATGGGAAAAGCCTTCTAAACTGGAGGATGACAGCAGTCACTGTCCGACACACACCCTTCAAACGGACACTATAAAACCCTAGAAGGGCAAGCCCCAGGCATCGGCAGAAGCAGCCCGGAAATAAGTGCACAGGAGGTCAGGACAGGGCTCTCCTGCAAAGAGGCCGTGTCACCAGTCTAGCAAACTGCTCACTTCAGGGATTCCGGAAGATAGGTTTGGCCAAAGAGGCCTGTTGCACAACAACAGAAGCAACAACAATAACAAAACACATGAATGACGGCAAATACTTCGTCTCTGCCATGTGCCAGCCCTGTTTCTAACCATTTTACACATTATCATTTAATCTTCACAAGAATCAAAGAATTAGGTATTCTTATTTCTCCCTTTTAACGGTAGAGGAAACTGAGGCACAGAGAGAGCCAATCCATTGCCTTGCGCCACTCAGCTGACGGCAGGGGAGGCAAGATTTAAAGCCGTTTTAAACCAATGAGTGTGGCTCAATCCTCGCAGAGTATCCGGTGTCCCCAGGGCCCCGCAACTCATTTTCCGACAGAAAGCTACTGAGCGTCACGAGCCCCGTCGGAAGATGTCCACGTTGCCAGAGCCGTTTCCCCACCTCAGGTCCCATATACGCCGCAGTCACTCACCTCCTTCCCCTCACCTTCAGCCCGGTCACCTCCTCACCGGTAAACGCCGTCTGGCCAGCCAGACCGGCAAACACCACGGCGATGTTGTCGTTTTCAAATTCAAACAATGGCGGCCAGAACACCGCACTGAATGCTGGGAGTGGGCGGGGCTTCCGGAGCTCGCGCTCGGGGGCTTTCCTGCGGCTCCCGGAAGAAGCTTTCAAATCTGGGGGGGGCGGATCTTAGAACGCAGAGCAACCAATGGGCGGAGGCAGGCTCGTGGACGGCCCGGGTAGGGAGGGTCTCGCTTCCGTCTGGGTTCGGCGAGCTTCTTAGAGGCTGCGGTCCCTTCCTGTCGGTTTGGATGCTTGCCGCGGAATCTATCCTTGAGGCAATAAAGATGTGGCAGAGGCCCCGAGGTGAGGTGGCTGCCACCACGCTTAGTCCTGCGACTCTCCTTGGGACGGGCCGTGAATGGCGGGCTAGTCACCTCCTGGTCCTAATTCCTTCGGGGCCGAAAAAGGCTCCCCCATCCCGGGATCTTGAGGGTCACCTCCGTCGCTGCATCCCCGTTTTGCAACTACCTATATAAAAACTGATATAGGTGAGCCTAGGAATGCTAAAACCAATGGATGCAAGATGCTAAACACATTGGCAGAGAGGTGGTCGGGGAAGAGGACATTAACCCTCAAAGAGTCGCCCTACAAGATGATTTTTCTAATTATAAAGGGAAAAGATCACTTTACCATGAAGAGACGTATTAGACATACCTTAACCAAGTGAGGGTACTTAGCATCGCTAATAATGAGGCAGTCTATCACCGGATACTATTTGTGCTAGACCTCTTTGACAATCTAATCAGGAGAAAACAAAATGTAAAACAATTTACGAGACAGTAGGCCTAGGCTCTTCAAAAATTGTTTATGTGTGGCAACGCATTTGTGATCATGTAGAAAAATGTCTTTGGTTTTGAAAGGTGCTTGCTGAAGTAATTAGCAAAGTCACAGGTGTCTGCAACTTAAACAGATTTGGCAAAAAATAAAATAGAAAGCAAATGTGGCGAGATGTTAATTGGTGAGTTCAGGTGAAAGGTATAATGGTGTACATTTTGCCACTTTTACAACTTTTAAAAATATCTTTGAGATTTTCAAAAAAAGAGAGGAAAAAGAAATAAAAGTCTAATCTTTACAATGTCTGCCAGGCCCTGCATGGATCAAGTGCCAGCCAACTTCACTCCCCTTTTGTGCAGTGAACTGATGTGCTCTGGCTCCCTGAATTCTCTGGTTTCCATTCATCATATGAATTTTTCTTCCTCCTTTATCTTTGATTTGATTTGATTTTTTTTTTTAAGAGACAAAATCTCACGCTGTCACCCAGGATAGAGTATAGTGGCATGTTCATAGCTCACTGTAGCCTTGAACTCCTAGGCTTAAGAAATCTACTGCCTCAGCCTCCCGAGTTGCTGGGACTGTTGTGGAGATGGGGTCTATGTTGCCCAGGCTGGTCCCGAGTTCCTAGCTTCAAGCAAACCTCTTGCTTCAGCCTTCCAATGCTATGAGATTGATTACAGGCCACCGCACCCACCCCTCTTCTTCCTTTAGATCACATCTAAAATATTAAATTCTGGGCCAGGTGCATTGTCTCAAGTCTGTAATCCCAGTACTTTTGGAGGCCGAGGCAAGAGGATTGCCTGAGTCCGGGGTTTGAGACCAGCCTGGGCAACTTGGCGAGACCTCGTCTCTACAATAAATCAGAAAAATTAGCCAGACATGGTGGTGCATGCCTGTAGTTCCAGCTACTTGGAAGGCTGAGGCGGAAGGATCACCTGAGCCCAGCAGGTTGAAACTGCGGTGACTGTGAGCATGGCACTACACTCCAGCCTGGGCAACAGTGAGAGTCCGACTCAAAAAATAAAAATAAATAAATAAGTGTTATTTTCTTAAGAGACTTTCCTGATCACTTTATCTCAAGTGAGTCCTCTTTTTAATTTGCACATTCAATTTTATGTTCATACTTATCACAACTATCAATTATTATATTTATCTGATTGTTGTTCCCCCACCCTCTAAAATATAAGTTCTGTGAATACAAGAACTGTGTTTCTCTTGGCCACTGATGTATCCTCAGTGACTCTATAAACACAAGACAAGTAAATAAATATTTGTTGGACAATGGATGAAGACTGGAATGGCTGAGGTGGAGACTATGGGAAGGAGTGATGGGGAGTGAATTTGGAGGTATGACCAGGGCTAGTCCCTGTAAGCCTTAGCCAGGTTACTAATTTGAATCTTATGAAATGCTACTGTTTTAAACATAAGCTTAGTACAATCCAATGTGTATTTGTCTTTCGAAAAGGTTAATCTGAAGAAGAGAATAGAAGCAGCCAAGGAGGATGCTGTTGAACCAGTTAGGAGGCTATTGCAAGAGATCCTAGCAAGAGACAATGATGATGTGGACTTGGGAAATGGCAGAGGAGATGCAGACAAGTGTCCAGATTTCAGAGGTACTTTTTTTCTGCATTTTCCATTTCAGCACTAGCCCCAAGGTTTTTCCTTAGAGACGCAGAGCCAACTTAAGATTTAGCACCATTCCAAATAATTACATCGGTGTTCTTGAAATTAACATTAACGTAAAATGAAAAATTTGATCAAGCTGATCAAATTTTATATCAAGCTGATTTCCTGCCCTAGTCCCAGCCTCTACTGTTAGTAACAGCTAACTTTCTATGAACCATACTATTCTTACCACTTTGTATTTCATTTAGTCTGAACAGTAACTTTATAAGAGATTTGTTGTTTATGATCACCATTTAACAGAGGAGGAAACTGAGACATGGAGCTATTAAAGAATAGTAAAGAATAGTAAAGGAAACTGAGACATGGAGCTATTAAAGAATAGTAAATATTAGACATGTTAGGAAGATTAAATCAGGTACTACTGTAAAGGTCTTATCTGGCATATAACTTTCTTAAATTTGTATATTTAGTAATCAATAGAATTGGAATTTGAATCTGGGTAGTCTGGCTCCAGAGTACGCATTCTATTGCCTCTCAAAATTTGGATCTGGAATTCTCTTCAGAAAAGACTGAGGAGCAACCCCTATGAGTCCCCTCCCATTGTGGGAGCTTTCTGTCCTCTCAATAAATTCTGCTTTCTCACTTTCAAAAGAAAAGAAAAGAATGAGTACTTAACTTCTGCTGCAATGCTACCTTCAAAAGCAGGACTAAAACAGCTCATGTTTCAGTCCAAAAACTGAGTTTATATTAATTACAAAGATTTGAATAACAGGTTCAACAAAAATTTATCAAGCACCCTTTAAGTGACAGATGTCTCTACTCTGCTTCCATCTAAAGCAGCCTTTCTCAACCACAAGTTTCAAGAAAGTATTAACTCCTAATCCCTTAGGCACCCATTTTGTGTAATGTTTACTCTCCTGTATACCTACAACAGTACCAGTCCTGCACTATCCTGAGAAAATAGTCACATGATTCTTATAATCTACTGTGGTTCATATGGGGAACATTGTGTACAAACAATTTCAAAACATGACAAATGCTATAATTGAAGTGAGTAAGGAGTAATGGGAACAGTGTGAGTATAGCTTAGTGTGTACTGAGTTTGGCCAAGCGTGGTGATTCACATCTGTAAGCACAGGGAGACTGAGATGGGAAGATTGCTTAAGCCCAGGAGTTTAAGACCAGCCTGGATAACATAGCGAGACCTCACTTCTACAAAAAAAATTTAAAAATTAGCCAGGCATGGTAGCATGTGGTTCCAGCTAGTTAGGAGGCTAAGGCAGAAGGACTACCTAAACCCTGGAGTTTGAGGCTTTGGTGACCATGATCATGCCACTGCCCTCCAGCCTGGGTGACAGAGTGAGATCTCGACTCCAAAAGAAATAAAAAGAGTACTGGTTTTGAAATCAGGCAAACTTGAGTTTGAATATAAGCCTAGCCACTTATAAGGAGTGGGCTCAGGAAAGATATTTGACTTCGGGCTCATAAATATCTTATGAGGATTAAAATAGCATATGTGAGTTATTTAGTATAAACTTGGCACAGACTTGGTTTCATAATGGTGGTTATTTTTATTAATCTGTTTATTAAACCACTAGGTGGCAATCCATGACTGTCTTTGACCATTATAACCCCAAAATCTAAAACCATACCTTGCATATAACAGGAACTCAATTAGTTTTTTGATTTAATAAATGATATTTAATAGGGAAGGTTTCTTTTTTTGAGTTGGAATTTCACTCTGTTGCTCAGGCTGGGGGGCAGTGGCATGCTCACAGCCACCCCAGTGTTGACCTGCTGGGCTCAGGTGATTCTTCAAGTAGCTGGAAATACAGGCATGCGTCACCACACCTGGCTAATTTTTTGATCTATTGTAGAGATAAAGGCTCACCAAGTTGCCCAGGCTGGTCTCGAACCAGTGAGTTCAGGCAATCCTCTCACCTCAGCCTCCCAATGTGCTGGGTTTATAGGCATGAACCACTATACTCAGCCATGGTTTCTCTTTTTGTTAATGCAAAATATTTTACATATTTATGGAATATATGTGAGTATTTGTTACATGTATCAAATGTGTAATGATGTCAGGGTATTTGAGGTATCCATCACCTTAATTATCATTTTTATGTGTTGATAACATTTCAAGGCCTCTGAGCTTTTAGCTACTTTGAAATATACAATATAATGTTGCTAACTAAAGTCACTCTAATTGACTATCAAATATTGATGCTTATCTGTACAAGGGGAGGACCCCCCGAAAAAGAATTATCTTTTGTAGGCAGACCCCTTGTAGTACAGGCTTTCCCCACTAGGAACCCATCTGCATCAGTGTACCAACTAGCATAATTGTGAGAGACTATGTCAGCTTGAGTGAATTGGTTTGTTTTTTGGGTTTTTTTTTGGAAACTCTTTTAATGTGTTTGTCCATTTCATGGATGATTTATAAGTGCACCTGTCCACACCACGCTGAGTGTTCAGCACTTTTTGACCAAAAGCAGCATGACCACCATGCTCCACCCTCCTCATTCACCTGATTTCACCCAAGTGACTTTTTTCTGTTTTTGCAGATGAAAAAACGTCCTCAAAGAGAAACGTTTTGCCATTGTGGAAGAAGTGAAACAAAAAAACGGCAGAAGCACCAAAAGTCATCAAAATTGACAAGTTCAAAAACTGTTTTGAGCAGTGGAAAAGCATCTTGATAGGTTATTGCATCAAATGAAGAATACAATAAGGTGACTGAAGTTTAAACATGTAAGAAAAAATACATAATTTTTTATAAATAAATTTTGGGTTTTTAGGGTCCCCCCTCATATGTTTCACTAACCAACCTCTCATTATCCCTCCTACCCACATGCTTTTCCCAGCCTCTGCTATCTGTCATTCCATTGGAGTTTATTTGTTTTGTCTATGTTTGTACCTACTAACCAACCTCTGTTTATCTTCCACTCCTACCCATATACTCTTCCCAGCCTCTGGTGTCTGTCATTCCGTTGAAACTTATTTGTTTCGTCTAACTTATGTTTGTACCCACTAACCACCCTCTTTATCTACCACCCACCTCCTACCCTAAAACAAACACACACCCTTCCCAGCCTCTAGAATCTGTCATTCTATTCTCTATCTCCATCAGATCAATTTTTATACCTTCCATGCATGAGTGAGAACATGCAGCATCTTTCTTTCTTTGGCTTATTTCACCTAACATAGTAACCTCCGGTTTTATCCATGTTGCTGCAAATGACATGATGTCATTCTTTTTATGACCAAATAGTATTCCATTGTGTATATATACCACGTTTTCTTGATCTGTTCATCCATTGATGGATACTTGAATTGATTCCATATCTTTGCTATTGTGATACTTGAGTTGACTCTGTATCTTTGCTTTGCTATCAATTACTTTGCTATTGTGATTCCATATCTTTGCTGCAATAAACAAGGGAATACAGGTACACCCTGCACGTAAAAATGTGTTTCTTTGGTTAAATATTCAGTAATAGGATTGCTTGATCATATAGTAATTCTGTTTTTAGTTTTTTGAGAAATCTCCATATTGTTTTATATAGTAGTTACACTAATTTACATTCCTATTAACAGTGTATAAGTAGGGCCAGGCATGGTGACTCACACTTATAATTCCAGCATTCAGGAGGTTAAGCCCAGGAGTTTGAGGTTACAGTGAGCGATGATCATGCCACTGCACTCCAGGCTGGGCAACAAAGTGAGAACTTGTTTCTAAAATAAATAAATAAACATTTAAGAAAAAATAAGCAGTATATGTGTTCCCTTTTTTCACATCCTCACCAGCATTTGTTATTTCTTGTCTTTTTATTAATAGTCATTCTAACTGAGGTAAGATGATATCTTATTGTTGTCTTGATCAAGAAAGATTCTTAACGTAGCATGTAGGCTGAAATGAATGAATGTGATTTGCCAGTGAATTACAGGGGAGAGCCATTCCAGGCAGTGGAAAGCTGTGAGGCCATCAGAAAAGGGACAAGAGCACACAAAGTGGATAACACCAACAGCAGGAGATGAAAAATGCGGGCAGGGACAAGAGCACAAAGGGCCCTGTATGACATGCTAAAAAAGAATTGAAATTATATTCTACAAGGCGTAGGAAGATTTGCCCAGCTGAGTTAGAGTAAGAGAAGCAATAGGAAGGGTTGGATCTATAATACCTCAATCTTATAAAGTTGGGAGTCAAGAGATGAAGGAACAGGACACAGAAGTTTAAGTACAGAGGGTGTTTAAGAAAATGTATACACATTTTAAGAAAGGAAAAATATATACCTATAACAAAAGATGAATACTAGTCATGCCTGACTTCTGCAATTACAAGAGGTGCTCAAAGTGGTTACCATCAGCGTCCAGACACTTCTAAAAAGTACTTTGAACAGTCATGCAGGCCGGGCTCGGTGGTCCAGCTTGTAATCCCAGCGCTTTTGGAGGCCGAGATGAGTGGATTGCCTGACCCGTCTGGGCAACTTGGCGAGACCTCATCTCTACAATAAATCAAAAATCACCTGGGCGTAGTAGGGCATGCCTGTACTTCCGGCTACTTGGAAGGTTGAGGCGGAAGGATCGCTGGAGCCCAACAGGGTGAGGCTGCGGTGGCCGGAAGGGAGCCACTGCACTCCAGTCTGGGCGACAGAGTGAAATTCCAACTCAAAAAAAAAAAAGTCATACATGGATAAAAAATGTATACTTTTTTTGGCACCCCAGTATATATTATCTAAATGTGCAAAAGTGACCAGTAAAGAAAAAAAAAGATAACTATAAGTATTTAAAGCTAAGTTTTTGTCATTGTAGAAAGTAAATAGATACCTATAACTTATACATGAAGAAATAACATTAGGAGCATATTATTTAAAGAAATGCATAGTAACTGCCAAAATTATTAAAAACAAATTACAAAGCCGGGCTCGGTGGCTCAGCCTGTAATCCCACGCCTTGGGAGGCTGAAGTGGTGGATTGCCTGAGCCCGTGGGTTCGAGACCCGCCTAGGCAACTTGGCGAGACCTCATCTCTACAATAAATAAAAAATTAGCTAGACGTGGTAGTGCGTGCCTGTAATTCCAGTACTTGGAAGGTTGAGGTGGCAGGATCGCCGGAGCCCAGCAGGTCGAGGCTGCGGTGGCTGGGAGTGGCCACTGCACTCCAGTCTGCACTACAGAGTGAGACTCCAACTCAAAAAATAAAAATAAAAAAACAAATTACAAGATTGGTTGCTGCCGTAAGCTGGACTGGAGGTATGGAAGAGTAGAGCTTTTAATTATAAGCTCTTTTAAAAATTTTTTTGAGTTGGAGTCTCACTCTTTCGCCCAGACTGGAGT